GATTTCCACAACCGAATCTTTTGTCTCCGATCGAACCTCCTTGCCCTCTGGAGCAGGTCTGGCCAGACCCTCCTGGCCGGCGACGGTGAACTCATAACTAAGCGGTTCCACCACCGCCACAGCCTGTGGAGACCCCCCAGGCAGTTGCGGGGCGGCGGCTTCTACCTCCTCACAATTCTGATCGCCTTTGCTGTCGACATCCAGCTTCACGTGAGCGCTACTCCTCTCCGTCGGCTGCATTCCACAGGACTGATGTTCCCATATGGCGGTTACAATCTCCAGTTCAACAGTGCAGTTTTGTGGGCTGAAAGAACACCCACACACACGCACGCGCTTGCGTAGCCACGCGTAAGGAGAGGAGGAAAGCCTATTGCTGCGTTTTGTCCTGGTCGAGCAGGCATATTAGCATGATCCTTCTAGTGGCGATTTAATGCCCCCTTTGACAATCTCATTACTGCGGTTAGGACAGCCGGTCAGCAATTACTGTTGCATTAAGTGGCATTATCGCCAAAGTCCGCGTCCACGCGGAGTCTAACAGAGTTCTTGGAAGGGACGTACTGGATTTCTGACGATACTTTTTGTGCTGCATCCTATGTAGGACCGAAGCAAGCTGATTTTTAAGACCGAGAAAGTTTAGTTTTAAGTAGATAGCTCAGTTCACAGTGCGTATTTCACTCCGGAATGAACGGCCCAAAACAAAACATAGGGCAGGACAATTATTATTGTCCAGACCTAAAACATTTCAGAAGTCTGAAATTGCGTCAGGATGGGCATTTACAAAGCTTGCTGTTGGCGAACTTAATGCCATACTTTCCGGTAAAATAAAGTCTGGATTCAAAAGTCTTAAATAAGCTTTAATTTGGATGATAGACTCTTCCAAACAGAGTGAACTTCTAAAAACAATGGCATTTGCCCAAAATGTGTTTTCTAGATTTCCAGATCTGCACATTTTAAATTTGGGAAGTGCGTGATCCTCCGAAATAATATATGCATATGCACGCATATATTGCTGCCAGAAGTGAAATTACGCGTTCCTGGAGATGTGTTTATATATATATGCAGGGTGGCGTTGTCGACAAAGACAAGGGAGACTGGAATGGCCATTTCTGGCGCCCCCTACCATTATATATATGTATATATTACGTGCACACTGACAAAAGTTGAGTATAGCACAATATGACCCTTAAATAATAACCCCGTTAATAATAATCATAATAATTGACAACGGACGTTTACCATAACGTGCACGAGACAAAACAGTAGCTTGTATGCAGTGAACGTAAGATCCAGAACTCAGTACCAGATCTGTCACTGGGGGAATTCTAACATCCCGTAAGTGATTCCTGGCCCTTGCTTTCCAGGCTGTCTCCAAAGTATTCTAACAAGTGCGGGATTAGCATTCCCTCATACACCCGGGGTATCCGCACCGGACACCAGTGTCTCGCTGCGTTTCTGAACTCCATGTCGCTGGCATCTCAGCCGAACTTCACAGTCGCTGGCGACTGATGATAATGAGGTCTGCCGACAGACACAGAGGTAGGGGGGGGCGGAATTGCAAGTCCGGTTTGTTTGAAATCGCCAGCCAGTGGCAGCCCAGCTGTGGGCCAGGAATTGACAAATGTGAGGCCCGTTCGGTTGGCGCAAAGTCCAACGCGAAACCATGGGCGACATTTTGCTGGACAAAGATAAACACATGCGAAGTCTTATGGGGCTTTTCGGGAGAGGTACAGAAAATCCTCAGAGTTCGTGCAATATTAAAGCTGTTTAAACAGCCTCTGGAACCGTTTCTAGCATGGCCTGTTCATCGGCGCAATGCCACTGATTCACGGCTGCCTTTGTTGAACTATTTCACAATGGCCGTATGAGTGTTTAGTCGTGGAGCTAGGATTTCCGTAATTTAAAAATTGCCCATTAGCATGCACCGGAGCTTACTTGACAGAAATAGAGAAATGGAAATTTAGGAAAAGGGTCTTCTTCCTATGTCATAGGGTTTGCTTTGGGTAGGTTGTTCCACCTTGCAAAAAGAGGTTTTCTGACCATGCGTGACTAAGCATCTCGCTTAGCCAACTGCGCAAATTGGGCCTTTTGTTCATTTTTAAACTAAATTACTATTGTAGCAGTTAAATATGTTAAGCTTTGCATATGATTTTAGGAGTCCAATATATAGTATAAAAACCTACCAAGACACGCTTTCCAGAAGGACAAACTTTAAATTCGCCTGCAGAATTTCAATACAAAGTCAGACACCTTCCGTGTTGCTTGACTGATTATTTTGAAGATTGTTGTATAGAAAAGTATAGAAAGGCGCTGACCTCAAATTCAGTGTTTTTGTTAGAAATTTCTCGTGACTGAAGCCCTGAGATAGCGGTTATCCTCGGATGTGGCAATAAGGCGTTTTGGCCACTGAATATATAGTCAGCGCATAACTTGTTTTGCAATATTGGAGGCCTGATCTTCAGCGTACCAGTTAAGAAGTTCACAAATTCGAGCATCTACAAACAATGTCTGCGAAATCTAGTGAATTGTTAGCTGATGCATGCTACTACTTGTAATGGGGTGGGTCGCTATTTGGTATTCCGACTTTTAGAAAGACAAATTACCACTGAAGGCTCGCCATTACTTCATCCACAAGCTTCCTATCCTTTCTCACTACGAAATTATCGGCTCATAATATTTCCTTGCGGGCAAAACACTGCTTAATCACTGAATAAAAAATATATTTTCGCCGATTTTTGGCTAATGCTAAGCGCATAAAAGACACCCTGGTCTTCTGCCGAGAAAAGTGCAAGCCGCAAGAAACCAAATCATTCCAAATTTTTTTACTATATCAGTAGGTGTTTTAAGCATTGTTCTCGGATACCTTAAAACTATCTGGTCCTTCTAAAAATCCTCAGCACACTTTCTTATATTCAATTTGTTTTAAAAAAGTTTCTTCACATCGGTTTACTTGTAAGCGACTTAACACAAGCAACAGTTGATAGGATATATACCTCAAACGAATTTTGGACAATTTTCGCGCTTATACACTCTTTAGGTGCAAGTAGTCGAAAATTGTTCTCAATGTCATATATTAATAAAACGTATTTTAAAAGTATAGGACATTTCACAGGTGGGTACCAGGAAAATAAGCATATTCTCCACCTGTGAAGACACAAGAAGCCTTTAACAAGATATTCGGCGCAAGTTCCCATAAAAAAAGTTACGTTTCGTTTAACTTTGGGTAATCCCATCTGCGAGGGAATTTTGGTCTCAAAAAGTCAGTGAATACAAGCAAAATGGGACCGGTGACCGCTGTACGCGAACTCGGGAGAGATCTGAACACAAGCAAGCCGGGGGACCGTCGTGGACCAGGCGGCACAAACCCTACCTAGCCACGGACGTACTCCCCCCCCCCTGCCCCTCAAGGACGAGCGATATAAATGTTCACAATTTACTGCACCCAAGTAGTCTCTGATGATGAACTCCAGTTCGAGTTCGAAATCTCAGGCAAATAAATCTACTGTCCCAGTGATCGTGCCTTCATCTTCTCCTAAACAAGCAAGCAGTATTAGGACAGAACAAAGAAAGGCTTAAACTGCCATGTCGCGAGTAATTTGCAATACGGAAGGCAGGCTTCGAATCCTGGACAGTACTACAGGAGTAGTAAGGCTCATTTACGATTGTTTATGAGATAAGTAGGTGACAATGAAAGACATTAGGTAATCAATAGTAGTGAAAATCCGATTCCCAGGTGGCATATCAAAAGAAGAGTGGGCGTTCACCGGGAGGGGTTTATTTGAGATCCGACGTTTCGGGTAGTTTACTCGTCTACCCATCTTCAGGGACTGAGAGGTCCTGTGCACAGCACTCCTTATTATGGCGCCCTTTGTCCAATGCGTGATCCGCCAATGCCGCCTGTGTGGCTGCATCCAACCCGCATGTCACCGTGACCTGAATCGCCCCCGTCGGCTGCGGTGATGACTGACGGCCCCGATTGTCCCGCGCCGTGACTGTCCGCCGCTAAGAAGGTTCGTAAAGTCAGATAAGGGGGAGGCAAATTGATGTGGCGGTTGACAGAGCGGTCGGTGGACATCCAGGCTTCTTGCACTTGCCTTGCTGTGTGGTCGCCGCCCCGGCCCACAATCTCAACGGCGTCAAAGTTGAAGATGTGTCCCATTTGCGCGGCATGGGTTGCTACCTCCGACTTTGGGTCCAACCTTCGCACGGCCAACTTATGCTCGTGCATTCGCGTTTGCAGCCGTCGGCCGGTTTCCCAACGTAGTCGAAACTTCCGCAGCTGCATTGGAGTCGGTAGACAACGGCCGACATCTCCTGCTTAGGGATCGGATCTTTCGGCCGCATCACTTGCCGGCGGATTGTTGAGTCAGGCCTGTGGGCAACACCTATTCCGAGTGGCGCGAGTGATCGAGCCACGACTTCGGAGACCCCTTTAATGTACGGAATGCTCCGCCACGAGTTTGGCTGACTGTGCTCCTCGTTCCGTTTCTTTGGCTGCCTCCGGCTTCGTTCAATGAATGCCCGTGGATAGCCATTGGCTCTGAAAAGTTCTCGGAGGAGCTTTATCTCATTCAGTTTGGCGGCTGGCGTGCTGCAATGAGTTTCTACCCGTCGGTACAGCGTGCGGACACAGCTTCGTTTGTGTTGTGGCGGGTGGTTGCTGTTGTAGCTGAGAATTTGCAGCGTGTTCGTCGGTTTTCTGTAGACCGACGTCGCTAGTTCGCCATTTGGTTGGCGACAGACGAGAACATCCAAGAATGGAAGTTTGTCCTCGACTTCCTCTTCCATCGTGAACTGTAGATCGGGCATGATTGAGTTCAGTACTTCCGCATAGTAGTTGATTTTATCCTGGTCTATGATCACGAAGGTATCAACAACGTAGCGTGCCCAAAACTTGGGTTTGTACTCCTCGAATAGTCGTCTCTCGAGTTTTTGTAGAACCGCCTCGGCAATGAGTCCGGAGATTGGTGAACCCATTGGAGTGCCCTTGATCTGCTCGTATGTGGTCCCTTCGAAGGTAAAGAATGTCTTGAGGCAGTTCCCCATGAGTTCTATGAGATCCTGAGCTGTGGGCTGGCCATCGCCTCCGTCGTAATTTTGACGTAGCAGGTCTCTGAGCGTTTCGACCGCAAGGGTCTGTGGTATGGACGTGAAGAGTGAGACGACGTCAAAAGACACCATCCTTTCATTCGGTTCGATCGTGACTGCCCTTATTTTGTCAAGGAATTGTTCTGCTGAGTGCACCGTTGTTTGTGAGCCTGCAGTTAGGAATCTTAGCTTCTGAAATAGCCAGCTTGCAAGCCCGTATGTGGGTGTGCCTCGGAGCGAGACGATAGGACGGAGGGGAACATCTGGCTTGTGTACTTTTGGGAGACCATGGAATCTCGCCATAGCGGTTTCTGCGGGCTTTGCCATATACCAGTCTTTGACGGTGATGACCTTGTCCTTTTTTAGTCGAGCCAGAGTTCTGTTAACCTTTGCCACTAGGGACTTTTGACTGGCGGCGTCGCTGACTTTGTAGGACTCTCGATCGTTGAGGAGCAGGAGGGCTTTGCGTCGGTAGTCCACCTTGTCGAGGATAACGGTTGACCGGCCTTCGTCAGCAGGTAGAATAACTATTTCGGTGTCCGCTTTCAGCTCCCTTAGGGCCTTTTGTTCATCTCTTAGCAGGGCATGGGTTTTCCGGTGCGACATGAGAAGTGAAGAGACGTGATGTCGAAGGAGGTCCTTTACCTCGTCTGTGGCGCCGGCTTGACTCCAATGGGTTCACCCATTAGGTAATATTCTGTGAAAAAGGACCAGATGCTTTGAACAGAGTTGTCTGCATGTCGGCTGGGTTGGGCATAAAACGTGGATTATAAGACTGAGGGGATCACTGATTTGACTGACTTTTGCCGATCTATTTTATTTTTTGGTGCTGCGACCGCTCCTACACGCCTGCACATTGCAATACCGCTGTGACCAGACACTGTAGAGTGATCCGGCTCGTAGGGTGAAAGGGGGACAGTGAACCTAATGACGAGCAGAATTGTCAGATTTGGAAGCAGATGGTCAAATCATGCCGTCAGATGCTTTACAGTCTCCCGCGTCTTGCCCATATTGGAACCCGTTGAGGTTATCGCGCTAGACCCCCTACTCCAGAGGGATATCAATGTGCCAGCTGATAAGTCAAAAGCCTGAAAATCAAGTCGGTAGTCGGTTAGTAGTTCTAATCAATTTTTTCGAGTGAACACCTTGGCGACGAAAAGTTGACTCTCTTTTGAAGACTTCAGTACACCAATGCCCCCTGTTTCATGGGTTTTGTCTCTTATTATTTTATACTAAACTAAGTAGCCGAGCACTGATCACTTGAATTTATGGTTAACCGAGACCAAACTATCTGACTAATAATCATCGTCTGCATCATAGGACAGATCATGCAGCTCTAAATAAACATCCCAAATTACCATTATAACCTTAAAGAGTTTAAGGTCATACTTTAGAAGGCGTCCTATGCTATCCTATTTTCGAAACTCTAAAGATTCGTCATGCACACATTCATTTAATAAGTTTAAACAGGAGATCGTATTATTCGATCAAGAGCCTTGAGTCTACACTTAACAATCCCGAAAACCTCTGTGAACGCCGTTTAGTTATTTGGCACGCGATCCACCCAAAAAGTCGCATAAAATGAAACCGACCCCACAACTGCGATTAGAAGACAATTATACAGCAACCGAGAATTAATCATAAAAAAGTCAGTACAGTGAACCCTAAATCACGGTGGGAAGACCATTCCCTTAACCCGAATGGTGAACGCCCTTTTCGAGCTGATGAATATTCCCGATTGCGACCAACAAGATAACTTGCCAGGGCTCACAGGTGGAGCTTTAAACTCATTAAAACGCCCCCCATCACGTAATCTGGGTTTGAATCCAAGGTTTCCCAGACTTCGGATTGGACATGTCTGACTGAAGATGGCCAATAAGCCGGAAAGGAAAACTTAAGTCTCTTTTTTTGTCGGCACCCCTGCCTGTGAAGAAGGAGACACGATCGCTGGGACAAGAGCTTTATTCGCCCGACGTTTCGGTTTCCTGCCCGAGCCCATCATCAGAGACAAAAGCAGATACGGTTGGTTCATGCACAAGGGGCTGCAGTATTCATAGGATGCGGTCGCCATGCTACCGCACACCTATGAATATTCAAGGCTCTCCCACCTCCACCAGGGATTGTTGCACTTGGCGTAATGATTGTTTGATAGTCGACACTCGTGTCGACTGAAATTTCATCACGTGTTTTGAATTTTGGTGTGATGACTGCTCGACCATCTTACCCATCGACCCTGGTGTTGGTAATAGTGTTCACCCGAGCGCTCTCCGTGTGGCTAATTACTCCTCCTAGACGAACTCTCATTACTTCAATTCTGTTGGTACCCCTACCTCCCTGATCACTGATCAAATCGCTGCTGCCTGTGTGGACGGGCATGCCCTGTAATCTGACCAACGAAAGCCCTCCGCCCCTACATGTCGTTAGTCTTCCATAGAATTGGCAGATTCTGTCAACTTTTAATGATTATTTATTTTGACCACCGACCGGTTAGTTGTGCACGTATCAATATTCCTCAAAATCGAAACAGCGATCGAAAGTGACAGTTTCATTTTGGTTTGTACAACAATCTATTTCGCTTTCCACCAAAAGTGCACACTCTATAGAAAGTGGACCCTAGCAACCGTCAAATCAGCTTTACGTCAAGGTCAAATTATCTAAGCAGAAAAACCGCATATACAAAAAGCAAACTACGGTCATATGGCATTTTTACACTAAAGTACCGCGTTTTACCGTTTCTGCACAATTGTATATTTTGACTTTAGAAAGCTGAAAGAACTTTATAAGATGGTGTCATCAACTTCGGCATAACAGATATTACGCTCATCAGATGTCTAACCGACTTGGACAGCGGACTGGTATCTGGGAGAGGAAGGATTGAGAGGTCGATTTTGGGGATTCCGTCCCCACGGATCTTAGAGCATTTTACTTACTATAAGGAGTATGACGAGCTTGGAAGTCTGTCAACTGAAGGGCTAACTCAATCTCACTTTCAGAATCGAGGCTCAGACTGCTATGGCTTGTCCCTAATATAACCTCTATCCCACTGCCATGCTGATGGGATCTGAGCCATTCCGTCGTTGTTTGTGTAAAATTCTGGGTCCATCGTGCGTGGACCGAGCACGTGTGTGGTACGCGTAGACGGACTCTTGGATCATTTCGCCTGGCCCCACCTCTGGTCTTCTTGACTTCCTTTTGTAAATTACCTCTGACTGCAGCTGTTGCCCAAGTCACTGGCCCTGCAGTTGTTTTGGGAGGTCCTGCTTTGCTTATTAATCCATAGCTACAGGAAGTCTCCCTCTGGATGTTATCTAACACTTCGATGTAGCTGCATTCACTGAGTTGTCTAAATTGTTGTTGATAAATTGTTTGGCAGAATGATTTCGCTCATACTCGCCATGATTCCTTTCGTCCAGATTATAAGTGTGAAGTGAAAAGATGAGAAGTTTGAATCTTAAAGGACTCCACAGTTATTAGGAGGAACAGCCAATTACCACTTGTCATAGTGGACAAACCGAGTTCGGAGGGCAACATAATCTGTAAGCCAAGAAACCATTCAGCCCGGAGAACCGCAAACACATGTCTTGCTTGGGACAAGTAGTCCACATCCATACGCACGGTGACCATTATCCAACTCACGTAGGATAGAGTGAATCAGAAGAGCAACAACATCCAGGGTATTACACATGACTTTATATGCAAATTGGAGAGGGTTGGATAAGTTGGGGCGACGTATTCAGCGAACTTCAGAAGAGAGCAGCACGCAAATGAACGGAAAAATTTAGGATCCAATTTTGTGCACTACTTGAGAATGGGAAAGGGGGGATTCCTACTGTACGCCAAGCGTCAGGTATCTTTAACTCGATTAAAGATGTGTTAAACAGGTGTTATCTGAGAGGAACAGGACTAAAGGAGTCGCGTTTAGACACAACCCTATGAAAATATGTCTTCACCGTAGCTACGGACGCGACAAAAGCGAAATACCGTTTGGTGGTAGATTGAAGTCGCTGAAGTAACGACAAAATTTTCGTTAAATGAATCACATTGGCGTCAATATTTGTCTGTGTACTTTGCTGAACAGTGAGACACTTAAGAGTCCTCCACACGTCTGCTGAGGAAAGAGGATAAGAGGGGATGGAAGAAGAGGAAAAATGGTGACTAACAAATAGGTCATTCTGTCTGTCAATCACTTTCCTAGGAGGTGAACGTCCTTTACACCATCACATGGCTTGGTTTGTAAAGGAGTTCTTGCCAAAGTCTTAAAAACTGAGATATGACGAAGGCACTCTGTCAAGTATAAACATATCAGTTTCAAGAGGACAGCAGATATGAAGACTTTCATTTGAAAATTGTCTCAGGTAGCTTTTAACATAATTCAACATTTATAGAGTAAGAAAAGTGAGCAAATATTAGCAGTTGAAATCTGAAGCAAACGAATGCTTTGTGCGAGGAGTGCAGAGTTCTATTTCAAGCATGAAAAGGCGTAGGATGGTTAATTTCAAATGTGATCAAAATGGGCGTCGACACAAGCATTGAAGGTAACAAGATCGTCAAAGCACAAAGCTTAGTGGGACGTAGTTTCGCATAGTTAAAATTGGCACTTTAATGAACGGGCTGCTCACAAGACAATAAAACTAGTTTTCGCAAAAGAAGGACTGAAACTCGGGCTAAAGCACCTTCATAGGCAGACGGCGAAATATAAACACTAACAAATATAGCGTCTTCAAAATTGTTTAACAGATGGTGCTTGACGTCATTATGGTGAACCATTTTGCACTTGAATAATCTCAGCACCCAAGAGTAATTTCTGCCGAGATGGTTTCAGACTCGTTGATGAGGTACAGAAGCCCGATGCACACATCTCGATGAAGTTGCCAGTGTACGTTACAATCCTATGAAGAGATTGGGAGCATAGCCCACTTCAGACTGCTCCGCGTTGTTCGTGCGGAAACTTTGGTCAAACCTCTGTATTACTCTCAACTGAATGTTGCAGAAACTCCTAGTTTCTTACGTTCTCCTCTTTGGTACAACATACCGGATCTTTAACTAAGCGTAACCATTTTCACCTACCTTGTCTTTGTAACCGGACCGTTATGTTACGAAGAACCGAATTTGCAATCGAGCTCATCCTAAGAAAGTTATTTTATAGGAAATCACTCAAAGAACTCTTAATTCGTCTCGGTTCAACAAGGAAATAATTGGATAAACTGTGTTGAAAATGTGTTAAACGACCTGTTTACAGCACATGCTCTTCACAATGTGCTAGCATCTAAGGAAAAATAGAGCGTAACTGCAACCTTAACCATAGACCTAAACTCTTTAAGCCAGGTCCCGAAACTCTAGCCCAGAACTCCTGACCCTTATTCTTAACCTCATCCATAGCCTCAACGGCAAATGCAGATTATATTCCAAGCCGGAAACCTCGGCCATAGAAATAACCCAACTTCCATTACTACCCCTTACTTTCAGCCCGATCCGGGAGACTTTGACGCCAGTAACTCGGGTGAAGCTCAAATTCTGCGCAAAACACGACACTATCGCCGACCTTTTGCAAAGCAAACCGTAATGAGCCACAGAATGGCATTACCGACAACGACAGGGGATCCTGGAATGGCCATTTCTGACACATTAGTCATCGTCAGTCAATCATGCCCATCCCGGGGCGTGCAAAACTTGGAATTTGATTCCGCAATCTGTTGGTTAGAAGTTCAGCCTCCTAGCCACTGAGCCACGCGCTCATTGCCTTAGCGGTTGCGATCCAGTATATATAATGGTAGAGATACTTCCATCGATCGAACTAGGAGAGCTACTTTTATCGCTGTGCGTTGGCCACGTTCCACCTACCTATATAAGATAAGAAGATTAATGTTTGAAAAATCACCCAGGGATTGCAAATCTTATTCTTACCGATAAATCGATTACTATTCGTTTCTTCTTGCAAATGGACTGTGGGCGTGGCTGGAGTTGAGTATTCATATTTGCATTTGTTAGTACTTTGTAATTATATTTCCAACTTTATCTATCTCCTTTATTTAAACACCCTTAGAAGCAGTCCTAATTAAATCGTTTGGTGAAATGCTGATAATCCTGACGAAAGTTATTTTCAAGTCACCAAAGGTGAATTTTTAAACCAAATTCTGAATCCTCTCGAAACGGTCGTGATGCGCAATCATGGAACGCGGGGCAGGCGGATATTGCATCACGCGGCTTTTCCCGTAAAATACACGACAAGTCAGGGGTCGCGCCACCTACTCCATGAATGCTAATCTAGTAACGTCGCGGTTTGCAAAAGGAGGAACATAAAGTTAAGAGCAGAGACAGGACATCCTGGCAACAACATCAAAATGCAGCGAACATTTGTCCGTCACCACCTTAATGTCTGCGGAATAACAGTGCAATCTCCGTTATAGTAGTAAGCAGTGTTAATTGTAATGGCATAATTTAATGTGACACTTGTACTACCACTCAGCAAAATTAGACTAGTGTTAAATCTTTTGTGAAACCGCTATCGCGTTGAGCAATCGCGAAGCCTCCGGCGTCCCCAGCATCCATCTAGAAGCGTTCTAACGTCTTTAATCTTCAGCGTTTTAAGCCTTCAGGAGATCACATTTCCAAATTAAAGGCCCCGGCACAAGTCCTTTCGAGTTTAGCTGACCAAAACGATATGCCGAGTCACAGAAATTACAGTAGGTGGCCTAACTCATTAAATGTCAACCGAAATTCCGAAATGCGTTTTCCTTTCGAAAAGATTATTTAAGCAGGGTTGTAAACCTAGTAAGCCTTCAACATACTTTTATAATCTTTCAGTTACATCAGGATGCCAGCTTTCGAATGAACTTCCTTCCGGCTGCGTGCGCAAACTGCATTATAAAAATGGCTACTTATGTAGCATGCATTTTTCTCTTTGATTTTTGATACCCCTACAAGTTCAATTATATTTCAAGAAAAACGTAAATAAAAATATTCAATCTTTTACTCATTCGGTAGAAAGTTATGTCTTCTTTTATTTTTATGCTTGAGGGAGGGAAATAATTCAGTTTTAAAAAGGTTTCTAAATGCGGGACATTTAAATACCGTGAAATGGCCGTTCTTAAATCGTCATGTCTTTGTATTTACCAACGTGGCTTGTAAAGTTAACAATATGGATCAAATACACTGCTAAATTTTATGAACCCAATATGGTCTCCTTTTATTACCGTAGAGAAATGTGTGGTATTCCGCACACGGAAAATATACGACTTGTAGTTTGGAAACCCTGAATCCAAGTGTAACGGTAAAGCGTGTTCAAAATTATGCGATAATTGGAAAAGTTTTGTAAACCGAATTATGCCCTTCCTTCTAGTGCATCATTGGAAGAAGACGTAATTTTGTACTTAAGGAGCAAAAGAATGAATATTTTTGTGCTTGTTTTCCATAAAATACAATTGGACTTTTAGGGGCATCGAAAATAATTGAAAGAAATTCATGCTATATAAGTAATCTTTTTTTTCAGCGTATGGTTTTTGCACGCAACCGTAAGTAAGTTCATTTGAAAGCCCGCATCCTGAGGCAACTGAAATATTATAGAATTATGCTGAAGGCTGACTAGTTTTACAACCCTAGTTAATTAACCTTTTCGAAGGGAAAACGCATCTTCGAATTTCAGTGGATATTTCACGAGTTAGCCCATCTACTGTACTATTGCTAAATATCTAGTGAGACCGCTATCACGTTGGGCAACGCCGAGGCTTCCGGCGTCCCCAGCTTCCTTCATTTGCCTCTGGTCTACAAGCGTTCCAACATCTTTAATCTTTAACGTTTTATGCCTTTATAAGATCATTTTTCCAAGTTAAAGGTCCCGTCACAAGTCCTTTCGAGTTTAGCTGACCGAAATGATATACAGGGTCAGAGAAATTATCTGAACACGAGGCAGGTTGCGGAGTCAATACCCGCATTTGCTTATTACTAGCTATCCGCCGAGAACTGATGAGGCATGAACAGTCGATTACTGAAGGTTAAACACCCATAGCCACCCCACTCACCATGAACTTAACAGTTACCCTAGCTCTGATTTTGATTTTATCTCTAATATTACGCGTAACGCCAGACTTAAGCCCAACCCCCATTTTAGGAAGGTAGAACGTGGCTGTAAGTTTTTCTTGCTTACATTTAACATCGCCTTTTGTATCGATCCTAAAAGAGGAATTTCTCGAGGACTTACCCTTAAATTCCCACATCAACTTCCAGCAAAATTAACTGGTCTGCCCTAAGAATTTTCGATTACTCATACTAACAAGCATGGCTGTTTGCCTGATTGTCAGGCACTTCAATATGAACAATCAAACACAATCCAGAAGGAGTGTCATTTTTTATTCTAATCAAGAAATAAATGACAATTTCCAACAAATCACAGGTTTTTAACATCCGCGCTCCTCTGTTGGGCGTTTAGACGTTTTTCTTTGAATGAACTGTCAGCATTTCCCTGCACTTCGGTGTAGAGCAGCAGTAGGAGAGCACTGGAATTCTTTCGTAGGAGCCAATCACGGAACAGTAACGAAAATCGCACTGAGAATCACCTGAGATGCCCTGCTTGCACCAGGAGCAGCCTGTTGAACTAGGAGACGTTTGAAAGAAAGTTATTAGCGTCTTGCATGTGTATACAAGCAGTAGATGGCGTATCTCGGGAAATATTAGCCGATTCTTTAAAAAAATCTATACGTGAAGTAGATATGATGACTCATAAAATAGTAAACAAAGTAAAGAAGAAGAGTCAAGCACCGGAACACTTCGTTTATTATCCTGAGCTTTCAGACTCGTACAGGAGTCCATCGTCAGAGGTAGTGACAGAAACAGGACAAGCGGCAGTTATAAGGCACGTAGGTCCAATCGTCGACCGACGTCGCACGACTGGAGTTGACTACGCAGGTCTCCGTACGCCGGCGCCAGGTCGATAAATCGATTGACCGAGTTCTCATCCGAGGCCCAGGCTTCAATCAATTCTCGGCCTGTTTTGTTTCCGGCGTGGGCGACTATTTTGGTGACTGCAAAGTTAAACTCGTGACCCATTTCGTAGGTTTGGGCGGTTACTTGTGATAATGCGTCGCCTCGCCGCACAGCCAGCTTATGTTCGTGTATGCGCGATCTGAGCATGCGTCCAGTCTGTCCTGTGTAGCTACAAGGACAATTTTGACACGGAATGCGACACACTATTCCAGATTGCATGTAAAGTTACAAATGTCTTTCTGAACATTCTGTCGCGAGTTTATGACCGTCCTTTCGCGTCTGTAGTCGGCCATTTTATGATAGCCCCGTAAAATCTGCAGTTTTCCGTTTCTTCCCTCCCCCCACCCCCCCCCCGGCATAATCGCTGTCACCGTGCCTCTAGTTGATTCCCCCGACCATACCTGAGTTCTCCCGAAAAGACAGATGGGTTTTAAGTTGTACTAACTATCAGCGAGATATAGTTTGTGACCTACGGTTTACCCCTAACCGGAGCCAGGAATGGCCATCACCAGTTCCGTTGTGAGTGCCAGTGAATACTCTAGATTGGGCCCTAGGGCGCCTCGGGACGAACATGTCCGGTATGCGCATGCTTAGCCGTCATAAAGGGGTTGTGCTGTAGAGGCGCTGGGAGTAAAACGGGTATCCGACGGGCTCACCGTGCGCGTTAATTAGGCGGTGCAGATTCCACGCGAGTCTGCAGTACAGACAGACTTTGACGTAGGCCTTGACACCACTGCCTGCCCGTCGCATGACCGGGCTCAGATAGTCGACTGGTGCATGTGAGAGGGAAGAGACAATGAGATCTTCACGGAAAATCAGCTCATCACTCCGTAACGAACCGCTTGACAGGCTCGAATCTATCACAACACGCTAAGTGTCCTGACTGGAAAGTTTAACATCGTTGCCGACGACGTCCACTGTGTGTTCCACAGCAGGGTCGGAGCAGGTACGGTGACTTGTGCGTGATTTATAGTAATAGTACACTTGAAAAGCATTTACCCCACTCTCTCCTCCTCCGCCGCCACCTGAGCTTGGTATCCAGACAGAGGCGGGGGAGGGCGCAGGTGGATGGTACGGCCGAGTTCGCACCTTGGCGTTACACTCCACACCCCCTGGTCCACACAGCAAATGACCGGGTTTTTGACCAACAACAATGAGCGGGGAGTGACAGGCGTCCCAGTGTGCGCGACGGCTGCCGTCAACCGGGTCTGCCATCGCACCCCAAAATGCTGGCATTTGTAAGTGGTGTGCAATCCGATAACACCTGCCAGACTCCGATGTGGCCCCGTCTGGTCCAGCGCATCTTCCACGTAGCCCGTCTGGGGGGCGCAACTGAAAGTCCACCAACTGACTGGATTAGCTGGTCTGTTTCAGAGCTCACAGGCAGGCATTCATTATCTTCTCAAGCATATGATACGCGAGACGTCCTAGGTGTAGCTTGGTAAAGGAAGTTGAAACTGTCACTTCTAACCCCGGTTTCGACGATGTTGCTTCGTGCACCACAGCAGGTTGAGAGCATGAACAGCGACTTGCGCGCAAATCAGTTTACAATGATAGTGTACTTGCGCAACATATACTGCATTATCTCCTCCTCTCCCACCTGGACCCGGTGTCAAGACAGAGTCAAAACGACCGCAGGCGGGAGAGGACGCAGACTACTGGCACAGCGTAACCCCGCACACAGGCGTACCGCCACGCTTCCTGGCTGGCAACAACAACTTGACCAGGATTTTAAATAGCAATAAAACTGGGGACGGATCGGATCTCGGTTGGCGTAGCATGAGCCTACAACTGGACCAGACAACGTACCCCAAATGTTAACAATTTTTTATGAGCGCGCATTACCGACAACACCTGCCTGAATCCGATGCAGCCTCCTTGTTGGTTCAGCATATCTGCCGTGTGAACCGCTTTAGGGGGGGTCACTAGTTGAAAGCAGATCGTGTGTGACGGACGTCCAGTAGGTTGGCTAACTCATAAAATGCCAACCGAAATTCTGAAATGGGCTTCCGTTTCGAAAAGAGTAATCAAGTACGGTTGTCAAACTACTAAACTTGCAGCATAATTATGTCATACTTCAGTTACATCAGGATGCCGGCTTTCGAAAAACAACGTCTTTTCTGTTGCATTCAAAAACCATACTCGGTAAAAAATGGCCACTTAAGTAGCATGTATTTTTCTCATTGATTTTCGATGCCCTTAAAAGTCCAATTATATTTCGTAGGAAACATGAATAAAAAATATTCATTCTTTCGCTCATTCGGTATACAATTATGGCTTCTTTCAATTTGATACTCGAAGGAAGAATATAATTCAATTTTAAAAAGTTTCTGATGAGCATATTTCGGTTTTAAAACGTTTCTTATTGTGAGATGTTTTATTACCGTGAAATTTCCCTTCATAAAAAGTGATGTCTTTGCATTTACCAATGTGGCTTGTAAAGTTAACAATCTGGCTCAAACCCACTGCTTAATTTTATGAACCCTATATCGCGTCCTCTTAATACGGTAGAGAAATGTATGGTTTTCCGTACCCAGAAAATATACGGTTTGTACGTTGGAAACCCTGAATGCAAGTATAACAGCAGGTCGGGTTCAAAATTATTCGGGAATCGGAAAAGTTTTTAAAAAATGGAATATTACCCTTTCTGTGAGTGCAAGAGTGGAAGACGACGTAGTTTTCTACTGAATGAGCAAAAGAATGAATATCATTTTTCATGTTTTCTATGAAGTATAATTGGACTTTTAGGGGCATCGAAAATCAGCGAGAAAAATGCATGCTACTTAAGTAGTCATTTTTTACATAGTGTAGTTCTTGTATGCCGTCGGAAGGAAGTTCATTCGAAAGCCGGCATCCTGAGATAAACGAATTTTATAGAATTATGCTTCACGATGACCGGTCTTACAAGCCTACCTAATTAATCTTTTCGAAACGAAAACATGTTTCGGAATTTTGGTTGACGTTTCATGAGTTCACCCACCCACTGTAGACAGGCGTTTTAGCTTTGACGCCAACTGTGCCTGCAGCTGTCTGTCGATCCTCGTGATGCTGCCCAGGCGTCGGTGCAACGCAGGTGAGGGAAAAGACGGTGTGGTAGACGCTACGCATGCCTATCTCACTATAACGCTAAAGTCACTGTTGCTGGGCGTAGTCTCGGAGGAAGTGGTAAACTTCATCGTCTGCGACGGTCAAACTGTCATAAGTATTTTGCACAGCTAAGATCTTTTGTCCTCAAAAACGAACTTATTTCAAACTACACATTGTTCCAAAACCCTATCCATGTCTCGTTAAACTGCATCCCAACACACCTTAAGTAAGTAGACGGTCTAAGCCGCACACTTAGTCGTCAGATAACGGGGGGGGGGTTCAGTAAGACTTACTCAGCTGATGTATTGTCCATCACCCGCTCAGCGTCTTGAGCTTGGGTCTCATTCGTGGACCTGTCATTGAGACGTTTTGGAAGTTCTTTTGCTTTCTCGAAAAGCACGATTTCCTCCAGGGGTAAAAGACAGTGCATAGGATTGTAGTCGAGGTTGACTTGTAATACTTGATCGGTTAGCAGCTCAAAGAGGCCAAAGGGGACGTACTTTAGGTCATTTCCCTGAAGACTCAAAGTAGTCAACTTCCTAAAATTTGTTCAGATAATAAAAACATTACTTACTACAACAAGCCAATCAGAACACTTTGTATTTTCCGTTCATAGTAAGGTCTAAACAGATGGCTGAAAGAGGTACCTTCCCCATACTTTTCTCGATACCTTTTGCGGCGTGCAGGGAAAGTCAGCAAGACCAGTATTATTTTGTCTGTGGCCGTCACTGAGAATGCGTTTATAAAGAATAAAATTTCTGCTTCGCGATCGAGCCTCATTCCTCTTCTCAACAAAACTGCAATAAATGGGTTACCACGTGGAATACTAACCGAAATTCTGAAATTTGCTTTCGATCCGAAAAGGTTACTTAAGTGAAACTGTTAACTGTCTTGCAAAGCAACCACAAGATGTTTCAGACACGTCAGCATGTTGTTACTTGAGTTTCTTTTCGGCCCTTTGCAGAGACTTCACTCTGTAAAGAATGACTACTTATATGCTGTAAGCCCTTCCTATTGATTTTCGATGCCCTTATAAAAAAAAGACTATTTTACAGAAAACGTGCATAAAAATATTTCCATTTCTTCTCATCAGGTAGCGTATTACGTCTTCTTCATCATTCAGTTTTAAAAACCTTTGTCAATGTTCGAATAACTTTTGTCTCACATGACATTACACTCGACTTCAGGGTTTATATTGTGCATGATGTGCGCATTCCGTCCAAGGAATGTCATGTTTTTGAAGCTGCTGGAAAGAGGTCAAAGTTCACTCATAAAATTGTCCTTCGGAAATGGAACAGGTCGTATATTTTAAAGTAGGATGGTCGGATGTGGTTAGGTAGACCCATCTGAGGTGAGTAAACCCCAGCCATCTGTAAAAAAGACCGATGGTAGTAGGAGTTTTTACAGGTGGGGCCGGGAAACGCACAGTCGACTAGGTGAAGGAATTTTGTGCAGAATGGAAAGCTATTGGGCATGCGCGGTTGTATTTGACTGGTTGGGAAATGGTTGCCCTAGCCCTAATCCCTAACTCTAACCCTTAAGTCAAACCTCTACCGCCATCCCCTAACCATAACCCATAGTCCCAAGCTCTAACCCCAACCCTGATCCCGAACCCTAGCCCCAACCTCTAACACCTAACCCTAACCCCAACAGAACACACACCGCAACGCACAGCCACACCATGCCAACGTAATCACACCAACCCAAAATAATCAGGTAGGTCAACAGTATTGTGTCCATCAGGTGCGGCTACATAACCGCATCCTACCGGACTGATAAACCTGCTGTCGTCAAGCTGTAAATATGGACATTTCACGCCTTGAAAATCACATAACCAGAAGCTTTTCAAACGGAAATATAGAATTTTTAGGTATAACAGTTTAATATGGCAGATTGTGCTACCAACCCATTACAATAGCAATATTGTAGGCGCATTTTCCATGAAATATGGTCGAATTTATGATGGCATTAAAAGTTAAGGAGAAAGTATGTGCAAATTAAGCAGGCATTTTTAGAGTGTAGTTTTTGTGGACGGCTGAAAAGGAGCTCGATCGACGGTCGGTATCCTGGTGTGACTGAAATATTATAGGATTGTGATGTGCGACATTTAATATTACAATTAATTTAAGCAACAGTTTAGAAATGAAAGCATATTTTAAGCATTCTTTAAACATTTCTGGAGATAGCATATCTACCATATATATATTTTTTCTGACCTTCCGTCACCTATTTATGTGTGATGTGGATCTCGGTTAGCTGCGGGGAAGTCGTGACTGGCACGTAAAGCGGATTAAAGCGCACGTCTTCAACATAGCAATGCACGACATGGTGACTCGAGGTATTTGAGGCTGAACTAGCTCACTCCAGACCATTGAAAATGCTTTACCTGCGACATGAAGCCGCCGCTTATTATGACGGCCAAAGCAGTATGCGTACAGAGTGTACTGTGAACACCAGAATATTGTATGATGTCAACTGTAACAATAACTTGCACTAAAAGGAGCGTCAGATGCATAAGGAGCTTTGGTCGAGTAAAATATGCACTATCAAAAAGCATTTTAAAGAGCAACGGGGCACAATGACTTCAGTTTGTTCTTTATAACAATCGAAATTGGTCAAATAAATTGTTTGAGAGATTACAATCTGACTTGTGGAGAATCAGTTATAAAACTGAAATTAATAAAAAGTGGTCTTATAAGCCTTGGTCTTAGTCGACTTAATTGTTGTAGATTTTACAAAATGCATTTTCTTAAGCAAAAGACCGATGCCTGGTGGAAATAAATTTGGATGAAGACCTGCTTGGTTTTTGTTTATCTGATTTTGAGCTTTTAATGGCTGCATAAATTGCTTGAGAATGCTTGTGAAAAATGACCAGAATTTATTTTAGCAAATGCTAATATAATCTTTTATTTTTCCTGACAACAAATAGCCTTGTGAAGATATGCAGTATCAGACTAACCTCATTTGGGATATCGAGTCGTGGATTTCAGTAATAAAGTTGAACTCTAAATGGCAGACCTCGAGTTCAGACAAACGGTAGAACCTGAAATAGAGTTTTTAAAGCAATCGAAGCATTTAAATATCCTAGTAGAAATCTTATAACATGAAAATTGGATTGAGCGAAAGGACGAATCTGAGATAGTCACTTTTTATGATGTTATGCCCTAGTGTGCAACATATAACCATTTAGATGTTTAGATTAAATGTTTCGGATAAATTGGCTAACCACAATCGATACAATTTTATCTTTCAAACTAGGATTACCTCTTCAGTTGGTACTTGCGGTTTATAAATACATTTACTTTATAGAAAACATATCTGGTTTATAAATGGAAGATTGTACGGGTTTGTTGCATCCTAATGTTTCCCAAATTTTGGAAATGGTTTTAAAAGATGTGTTTTGCAGCATCGCGACCACTTGTCTCACCGAGACTACGGCCTGTGTGCAAACAGTCAAGGTTACAAGTAGATCGCTTCGATCTTGGCTGACTGTCATGTATCTTGACGATTACGAAGCTTCCTCGCACTGCGTGTTGTCAACTTCCAGTTGTAAAGTGAACCTGGTAGTCTTCTGGTAGATTCTGCATTGATTATGCGGGAAAGACTGTTTGGGGTGTCAGCCAGCTTTGTCCTAATTGGCTGGGCTGTACGGCGGTGATCATTACTGATTTAACTGACCTTGACGATATCCCTAGATTGTGTCTCTTCACGCGAAACAATGCATCAGCGGCCATGGACAGCTCGACTTACTTCCTCCTCCAGGGAAGGAAAACGAATACAGAAAGCTCAAGAACCATTCCTACAGTGATTGACCGATCTCATGAAATGTTCGCTGAAATTCTGAAATGAGTTATCGATTAGGAAGGATTACTTAGGCGCGGTTGCGAAACTGATTGTCTTAGGGCTTAATTCTGTAATATTTCGGAATCGGCAGGATGTCAGCTTTTGAATACACTGCTTTTCAATCTCCTATACAAGCCGTACTCGGTAAAAAATGACTACTTAACTGGCATGTATTTTCACCCTGATGTTCGATGGTCTTGCAAATTCAAATATATTTTACAGAAACCATAAGCAAAAATATGCTTTCTTTCAGTCGTTCGGTAGCGAATTACGTCTGATTTATATTTTGCACTCAAGGAAAGAGCATAATTAGGTTTTAAAAAAGTTTTTAATTATGAGACTTTTTAAGACCGCGATATGTCTACTCATATAGCGCGTACCTGGCCGTTTGCCACAGCTCCTCATGAAATGTACAACATGGTCCTCATCCATTGCAAAATTTTATGTACTCTATATGATATCTTTTTAAAGGCATAGAATAATGGGTGATATCATTTACGCGGAGCGCATACACCTTGTAGACTGAAATCACATAGCGGTAATGCAACTGCTAATCAGGCTCCAAATTATTCGCCAATTAGAAAACTTTTTAAAACCTAATTGTACTCCTTCTTCGAATATAAACTATAAAGTTGACGTGATTATATATCGAACAACTGAACGAAAGCATATTCGTTCGTGTGTTCGTGGTTTCTGTAAAATATATTTGAATTGGCAAAACCATCGAAAATCAATGGGAAAATGTATGCTACTTAAGTAATCATCTTTTACCGAGTTCGGTTTCTAAAGGAGATTGCAAAGCAGTGCATTCAAAAGCTGACATCCTGTCGATTCCGAAATATTATAGAATTATTCCGCAAGATAATCGGTATTACAATCGCGTCTAATTAATCCTTCCTAATCGAAAACTTGTTTCAGAATTTCAGCCAACATTTCATGAGGTCGATCACTTACTGTAAATATGATCAATCCCACGGCTCGCAGGGGAGACCTCGTAGATCAGGTGGTTTGAACGCTGGCTGTGTACAAGTCCTTGGTTCGAATTCCCTCGAAATCGCCAAGGCTTTCAAAACTAGGCCAAATGGACTTCCGAATCACCAGCCTATCTTTAGAATCGAAACTAGTCCTTGTATAGTCAAGCGCCGGTCATCGAAAACACCTCATCGTCACTAATAGTCGAGCTATCGGACGTTATCAGCATGTTTATGCATCTTCTAATGACAAGAGCCATGAGCAGAGAGGGGACGACAAACAGTTGTCTTACCCGAACTCCAGGACTTCCAGAAGACAGAAGGACACATCGAGGTATTTCAGGTTTGAAAGACTTTGCACACAGTTGGGTATCACTCTCATCGGATTGCTTTTCATGCTGAGCACGCGTAGACTCCTTAGGGCGCAAATGTCCTCAGGTAGACACTACAGCGCCTAGAAACCAATAACTGGCATGAGGCTCACCTCGAAGTTGTTGTAGGACAGATTGAGTTCGCAAAGACACTCAAGAAGGAGCCTTCTTTCTGGCAGGCGTGACAAAGCACAACCGCTGAGGTCCAGGAGGTAGCCTCCAGAGAGAATGGATCGCATGATTTCAACATCTTCTGGATTGAATCCTACATCGCGACCTTTATGAGAAAGAAGTTAAGGTAGTTTTAGTTGTAAAATATACTTACAGGCGGCAGCCGCAATTTGTTAGATGAAAGATACCTAGTCTGCGGAAACATCGTCTCTTCCACAGAAATCGTTCATTGAAATGCAATAGATGTACTAAGTCATGAAATGTTAACCGAAATTCGAAATGTGTTTTCGACTCGGAAAGGTTACCCAAGTAGGGTTGTAATATTAATCACCTTGCAACATAATCCCATGATATTTCAGTTACTCCAGTGTGCCGGCTTTTGAGCAGACTTCTTTCTGGCCACCTTCAAGAATGGCTATTTACTTAGTATGAATTTTCTCATCAATGTTCGATGCCATTATAAATTCAAATACATTTCAGAGAAAACATGCAAAGCATCTATCCTTATACTCATTTGGTAGGAAATTACGTCTTCTTCAAATTTTATGCTTGAAGTCAGGGTATAGTTTGGATTTAGAAAGTTCTAATTATGAGATTTTCTAAAACCAAAGAGTGTCCGCTTATAAGACATCCTGTCTCCATATTTATTAATGTCGTTTGTAAAGTCCATAACATCGCTCAAATCCACTTCTCAATTTTATGAACCTCATATGGTCTTCTATTTATAAAGCAGAAATGTACGGTCTTTCGTACGCGGAAAATATACGACTTGTAGTTTGGAAACCCTGAATGCGCCACTTAGACTCTACTGCACAATAAGTGGACAAAATCATGAAATGTCAACCGAAATTCCGAAATGCGTTTTAGTTTTGAGAAGATTAATTAAGTAAGGTTGTAAAACTAATCATCAAGCAGCATAATTCTATAATAATTCATTTACTCCAGGAGGCCGACTTTCGAACGAACATCTTTCCATCCACATGCATAAATCACGCTAAGTAAAAAATGACTACTTATTTAGCATGAATTTTTCTCATTGATTTTCGATGCCCTTAAATATTCAATTATATTTCATAGAAAGCATGAGTAATCTATTTATTCTTCTACTCATTCGGTAGAAAATTACGCTTCCTTTAAATTTTATACTTGGAAAAATGCTATAACGTTGTTTTTTAAAACTTGCTCAATTCCCGAATGATTTTGAACCCGACCTGCCGTTACACTGGTATTCAAGGCTTCCAAACTACAAGCTATATAGTTTCCATGTACGGAAAACCGTGCATTTCTCTACAGTCCTATGAGGAGACTATCTAGGGTTCGCAAAATTTAGCTGTGGATTTGAGCCATATTGCAAACTTAGGAAGCCACACTAATAATTGATGAGACACGATGTTTTGTGAAAGGGCATTTCACTGTAATAAAAAATCTCACTATTAGAAACTTTTCAGAAACCGAATAATATCATTTCTTCAAGTATAAAATTTAAAATAAACGTAAATCTCCACCAAACGAGTAAAAGAATGAATACTTTTTTGCCTGTTTTCTACGAAACATAATTGGATTTTTAAAAAGCATCGAATATCGATGAGAAGAATGCACGCTATATATGTAGTCACTTTTTACAGAGTATAGTTCATGCATGCAGCCGGAAAGAAGTTCGTTCAAAAGCCGGCCCCCTGAGGTCATTGAATTATTGTAGAATTACGCTAGATGATGACCAGTTTTACAACTCTACTTAATTAGTCTTTGATTATGCGATTTTTAAGACGGTGCGATGTCTCTTCATACAGCAATATACCTGTCCTTTTACCACTGCTCCTCATAAAGTGTACGACACAGTGCATGCTATATAAGTTGTCAGTTTTCACGGAATATTATATATGGTTTCAGCCGGAAAGACGTTTTTTTCAGAAGCCAGCGGCTTGGGGTAACCGAATTATTATAGAATTGTGCTGCATAATGATTGGTTTTACAACCCAACCTAATTAATCTTTTTGAAACGAAAACGCATTTTGGAATTTCGACTAACATTTGCTGAGTTCGGCCATCTACTCTAAGACAACCTGTAGTACAAGGACTCCTTTATTCTCGTGTCAAACTCAAGCCAGTTTCGCAATCCATTTCGAAAGAACAACCAACCACGTTTTTACTAGTGAATTTGATCGTTCTTCCATATAGTCGCTTTGTTCGACCACTAACTTTTGTGGCAATCACATCGAAACAAACTCAGCGTATTTTTGTTTGCCTGCTTGTCTACGACTATTTTTTACGCTTTGTATTTCCAGCCAATACAGTCGATTCGTTTGATTTTTACATAGGCCCGCAAGCAATAGAAAAACGGTACCCTATTAGCTTGGTTTATGTCGGTTTGATAGATTCCCCTAGTGTTTTTAGATCACGGAAGCAACCATATTATGGTGATTTTAACTCCAAAATCACCTCGGTCGAAGAGTGGCCCGTAGGGAGTTTTTTAGGGTTCCATTCAAAAATACGCAGAAAGACCGACTGAAACCTTTTTTTAGAATTCCGATTGGTGAAAAAGTATAAAAGGGGAGATTGTCCGATTGTAGCCCCTGGAGCGGGCATTCGTTTTGTGCGCATTGGGAAATCGTTTTTAAGGAACAGAAACGATGTCCTTGTTTGTTTCCGTCTGTCCCTAGAAAGAAACTTTAATGATCTTTGCCAGCAGGAATACGGACGTGTTTATGCTAATTCTGCTTAAGTCCTGGTTCTCTTTCGCTTTAAACCATAGGAGTAAAGCTCTGCCATTACGTATGGTTCACTTGGAAAAATGACATGCGCAAATACTGAACGAATTACTTACTAACAGCATAAGTGCCAGCCAGAAGCCCAGCCCTGCAAGTTTCGCCGCATGACGTCACTGCGACGGGGTTGGCTCATCAGTGGGTCCCCCAGCTGTCTCAATGCGATATTTTGTACATAAACTTCAGTTTGCATGTTGCAATTTTTGATTTCCTCAGAATGAAGTGCGCAAATTTGGTGTAAATCAATCGAACGAAGCTCATTAAGCTCGTTCCGAAAGTTAGCATGAATATTTGGGCTGAAATCCATCAGCTATTGTGGAATGACCGGTTAATATTCACAAGCGGCCGACAGTCGGTGAATCATGTATCATACCAGCAACAGCAAGTGAAATAGCTAAAAGCGTAATGGATCGGTGAAACCCGCGTGACTTAACTTTTACTTGTTATCTCTGCGGTTAGTATGCTCGATTACTCGGTATTTACACGCTACTGACTGCCTGTTAGCAGATCGTTAATATTACGTTGTTATTTCCGCAGTACTCTATGAGCTTCGGCTCGAAAATCCATATCAGCTTACAGACCGAACCCAAAGAGCTTTGTTCCTAAGTATTTGTTCCACACTCGTGTGAAAACGTGTGCTATGGCAGTATCAGCAAACCATGGCCCTCGCAGCCTGGTATACGCTGGCAGTTCCCTGACACCTGATTTCCTACCAGTAGATGCCCTTGCGCTCCCGCTGGTTCGAAAAATCCTGGTTAAACGCATGTTTTGGACTAGGAAATGTAGTGGTACGCCTAGGTGCGGGTCCGGCCGTACCAGCCAGCTGCGCCCTCTCCCGTCCATGGTCTTCTTGACTCTGTTTTGACACCGGATCCGGGTGGGGAGCGGAGAAGGGAGAGTGCGATAGATGCTGCGAAAGTCTACTATCATTAAAATAATCCACGCACAAGTCACCGTGACTGCTGAACCTTGCTGTGCAGCACACGGTGGACATCGCCGGAATCGACGCTCGAACTGTCGGACTTCCAAGTTAGGACGCTTGGCGTGTTGTGGATGCTGCTGGTCCGGGTTACTTTAGCCTCGGGAAGTTTCTATGGACTCGGGATGCCACCTCCATCGTGCATGCGTCCGATCTGCAGTGACGGGGTATGACGGGTGGCGGGGCACTGATGAACTTCGGTTCGGTGAAGTGCTTGTGACCCTTCTACTAGACCCCGACTGTTGATTGGCTAAATGAGGGCAAAATAAGCCCGAAACAGTACTGAATCAATCTACCCGAATTCTCTGCCGTCCCCTTCGCTGCCATTATGAATTGGCCGACTTCGACCTGGTAATTGCTTGCCTGTTCGTGACTTTTGCCACCCATATAGAACCTGTTTGTTTCCTGAAGCCAATAGATCGGTGTGCGCCCATTCCTGATTGAATAAATACCCGATCTGCAGCGACAGATTACGGCAGGTGATGGAGCACTGATGAACTTCCTGGAGTGACTGAAATACCTTAGTATTACACTGTGTGATGATCGGTATTATAACTCTACCTAGTAACTCTCGTGGCAAAACACGATGAGGACAGTTCGGCCGTCATGCTCTACTGCAGGTGAAGTAGACGCGTGAAATAGTTTGCCGTGGCGGCAGACTTTCGTAGCATCTACCGCACTCTCTCCTCCTCTCCGTCTGGACCCGGTAACGAGATATAGTCAAGAAGACCGTGAGTGATGGACTTCGCAGGCAACTGGCGCAACCAGATCCGCAGCTAGACGTGCCACCACACCCCCTGGTCCACAATATCCGCCTGACCAGGACTTTAACCAGCAACGTCACCACAATGGGTCAGAAAGACGACGAGGGGAACGGAGCAGCCATGCTAACGATCTGTATACCCAGCGGGAGCGCAGGCGCATCCACCGGCAGAAACCAGATGCCAGAGATCTGCCAGGCCACGTGGGCCACGGTTTGCGAATCAGGGCATAGCAGTTGCCTACATGGAATAGGAGCACCCCGCCATACAGGCGGCCTGACTCTAAATTTCAAAACGGGTACGTATTCCGGTGTCCTCACCCCAACAATGGTCTTAACTTAGAACTGAATCTTCCTGTCTATCAGACCGAGCCGGTCAGTCATCTGATGCTGGAATCGAGAAAAAATGACCAGTGCGGCCTAGGGCCCGCGCATAGACGTGTCATAAAACCACCAAAGTGCGGCATCTATTGTGGATGCGCGAACTCTGCGCATTACGTTTACCTCTTTCGGTGTTTCATTACGACCTCTATGTCGGTCCGATACATCTCCTGTGAGGCAAGCTCCTTGGTAATCAGTACTGCAACCATCACAACCGAATAGCGCATGTAAGGACTTCAGTCAGCGTCTCACGAGTTTCAGTCAGCATTGACATTTTAGTTTTCTTAGGGCCATATAAACACCCAAGAGTCCTCGGAATGTCCCCACTGGCTGTTCTGTCCAGAGGGTGAATAGTTTATCAGCGTTGAGGGGTGTGCGTGTGTGTGTGCATTTGGCTCAGTTAGCAAATAATTTTCCCAAATATCATGTAAGAGTGGGCTGACCATGGAAAATCATTTAGTCTTTCGGATCTCCTGATTTTTTTAGAATTAACAAAGGCAGCATCCCAGTGTGCTCGATCACGAGAGACAGTCTATCATTTTATGTGTTGGATTACAGTGTGAGGCCCTCATGACCTTACTGACAGTAGTGTTTGCCGACGGCACTCAGTAACGCTGCCTGACGAGCAGCGATAACATGTGGGCAAACCGGATCCTGGTAGGAGTGCCTGACACAACATCAACTTCGCTGTCTCTTTTTTACCCTTTCTCCTCATAATATCGTATGTGAATGGTAAGACAGGGTAAGGGCGACTGGAAGTGGTTGTCCAAGAACTTCGAAATAAACCATATAAAGTGTCTACTTATTTAACTCAGGTAGACTGATATATTCTAATAATAGTCTGAGTTTTTTCCGCTTATGCAAATGACAGGGGTTCTGCTGATTGATCATTTCCCACATTCAAACAGAACTTAGGCGGAAATGCCGATCTTTTTACGGCAAGGCACAGGAACAGCGATCACCCCCGTAATGCATGCTGTTTTGCGCTAGATTCCAGTGTGGACCCGGTGTCCGCTGTCCGACCCTAACTCTGCTGCAGACAGCCAATATAGCCAGTCTGAAGTCATTGCTCAGGGCCTCGTTGCCTCAAGATCACTCCTTGAAGCGAACCATTCCAGGTGCGCTGACCTGAAGCAACTCGACCGACTTTAGATCGGAAATACCTGCGTCCACCCAGTCGCAACTGCCCATGCGTCCACTTGAACGCACCTACCCCCTGCAACCAGAAACATAAGCTACTAGAACACCGCCCCTCGGCAAATGTAAACGCACACCGACTGGAGACCGTTTAAGCTTGGACCAAGAGCCTACAAAAGCGGCTGCCACCACTGTACCACAGACTCTCAGGCATGACCGGACGCAGTCAGCACGAGCCCTGGCTTCGTCAGCAGCCACTGCCGCCTGAGAGGACAACTCTGGGCTTTGTATACATTAAACCCCTCATTCTGGTGCTATCTGTCTTCTCCTTTCAACTTGGAATTTGGCCTGACGATTGTAGTGCACTAAGCACTCACTTCCACCGCTTAGTTGCTACAGCTCTAACACTGAACATAACATTAACACGTGTTGATCAGAAGAAGAAGCGATCGCTGGAACAAGGGTTTTATTCGCCTGACATTTCGGACTCTCACTTGAATCCATCATCAGATACAGTGGCAGAAAAGGGTGACATGTGCACAGGAACATGATGTCCTCGTCTGCCGCAAAGATTCTGGTGGCCTAAAGACCAAAGTGTTCAGGAAAGCGACGAATACGACGCAAATACTGAACTTCAACAGTAACCACCCAATCAGCCACAAACGCAGTTGCGTGAGAACGCTATTTCGACGTGTTGAGACGCACTGCAGTGAACCGGAAGACAAAGTTGCCGAATCCCAATATCTTCGACGGGTTTTTAGAGAAAATGGTTACCTGCGCAACTTCGTCAACCGGTGTATGCGCAAACGAGACGAGAGACAGAACCGTGCCGACCCCAAATTCTGGCGAGCGATCCCGTACATCAAGAACGTCTTCGAAGCCATTAGCCGCCTTCTTGCACCACTTGGGGTTGGAGTGGCACACAGACTGGAGACCACCATGAGGCGTCAGGTGATTAGACCAAAAGACCCACTGCCACGGCAAGAAACATCTGGAGTCATTTACCGGATCTGGTGCAGTTGCGGACAAAGCAACTACGTCGGAGAAACTGGAAGACTGCTCCGGACGCGAATTGCCGAACACGCGGCAGCGGTATGAAGAAATGACGACAACTCTCAAGTCGCGGCCCATTCGACGAGACCCGACCACACATTCAAGTTCGATAAGGCCGAAATTCTCGCGAGAGAGGATAATCGCGTGAGCCGCGAGTTGCTTGAGTCATGGTTCACGGGACCACAGTCTATCAACAAGTGCAATGACATTCCCCCTCCATATTCCGTACTGAGGCATAGGCTGGCCAAGGTAATTGATCACTCAGGGAGCGCGCAAGCCGGTGAGCCAGATGACCGAGCAATCATCACGCCAGCATCTAACACGGGTGATGACATTTCGGCGATTAACAATCATGCCGGCCATCAAGCAATTATTGCACCAGCGGGCACCCATTCTTGACGAAGGGGAGCGCGGCTAATTGCTATAAGCATGCGGTAGCATAGCGACTGCATCCTATAAATACTGCGATTTCCTGTGCACAAGTCACCCTTTTCTGCCACTGTATCTGATGATGGATTCAAGTGAGAGTCCGAAACGTCAGGCGAATAAAGCCCTTGTTCCAGCGATCGCCTCTTTTTCTTCTTCTTCTTCTTCTTCTTCTTCTTCTTCTTCTGATCAACTAGTTCCTGGAACTCGCATCTTCGCTTGCATCGGCAATTAACACTTGTCCTTATCCTATCTTCAGCCATAACTGTAGCCCTAATCCACATCTCCATCAAGTCTAGCACAAGGATATCTCGGGGCTCCTTGTCTGCTCAGCCTTTTTGACCATAGTGAACGCATCTTCTTTCATCCGATTGAAAATGGCGAGAATTCAACAAGGCTAAAATTGCCTCTTTCTTCAGCATTTCAGCAGCACTGAAATTCTCTGAAAACGCTAGCAGTAACGTTTCATTTCTTCTCCAGTCCATGCAGTAGCGTGTAAAACATTTTACCTGGCGGAATATGTCGCGGCGGCTTAAACCATGGACAGGACGTAGTCACTATGGCTTTTAGGTCCAGCTTCGAATAGAAGGAGGTGTAGGACGCCAGTTTAGAGGATACTGAATTCTGTACTGAAAGTCAGACAATTTAGTTGAAATAATTTGGTTGCCGTACGAGTGGACATCTCTGCCTCCATGGCAGCGACATCCCGAATGGTAGTGGGGGATGCGTCAGAGCGAGTTTAATGTCCCACGAATTAGACCGGGTTGTTCGAATGGCGTAAACGCCTTATGGGGCAGACCCAGGATGGGATGGTGCAACAGCGTGTCGGTGAAGATGGCCGGTGTCCTGGGAAGCCCACTGTCTCCCCGAATTCCCCTAACGCTCACTCCGCTCACGCTCCACATCGGCACTTTCCACGGCTCTCTCTTGCAGCTGCCCCCAGCTTTGCATCCCCACTGGTTGTTTAGCAGGCATGTTGACGTCAATTCCCCACCCCCCCTTGGTGCAACTCGCATCTTTCTCTGTATAATTTGTCGATTTCCGATGTACTGAACGCCCTGTTCCTAGCCTATATATTTTTTACCCCTTCAAATCTTCTTTCTTGTTGCTTGAATGAATTCTGACGTGTCCAACAACCTTGTTGACCCCGTTCTTCGTCGGAACTTATTCCCAGTGCTTCAGGGTATCCCGCATGTGCTATACTAAACGTCATCGGTCGCTACAAGAACATGCCTGAGGCGATCTTAAAATTAATTGGCTGGTCTGGGCAGCCAGACTGCCACTGGTGCGAACGTGCAAGTCCCTCTCTCCCTTTTTCCTCATAATATTGTGTAAGCCAGGGTGGAGGCTACTGAAGGTAGTGGTCGGAAAGACACAGGAATAAGGACACCAGAATGAATCGTATTCATGTAAAGTGTCTACTTATTTGACTTAGGTAGCCTGATATATTCTGATAAAAGTCCCAGCTTTTTCTGCTTAAACTACGGGGTTTTGGTGATTGCTTGTCTAGCACATCCAAGCAGGCCTTAGACGCAAATAACGTCTTTTACGGCAAGACACAGGAACAGCAATTACCTCCGTAATACGGGTGGTCATATCCTAGACTCTAAGTGGGGTACCATTCCGGTGTCCCGACCCTATCTCTAACAGTAAACACAACACCAGCACCTGCCCCTAACCTATCTCCAGCACTAACTGTAACCCTAAATCAAATCTCCCTGAAATCTAGCACAGGACCAACTGTGCTACGGGGCTCCTGGTGTGACCATCCTTTCTAGCCGAGAAGGCTTTCTGCATTGTCGACCATCTGCTTGTACGCTAGACAAGCTGGATTAATAACGGATTCGATCCGCTACCATGGTCCTCGATCATCTTATCCACTCGATAACCCTACGTTTTACTTTGACTCAACTATGAAGAACTCGGTGCCTCGGTGGGATTCGAACCCACGACAGCAAGGGGAGGCTTTAGTACACTCAACGCTCCAACCATCTGAGCCACGATGCCCAACCGGACGACGCGAGTTTAGCCACATTTGGGTCAATTTTACCCGCCCAACCCACTGCAACGTCTGGAATCTATCAAATCTGATAAAGTAGGCTGACTGCATAAGCAGGATTTCCTAAGTAATACATCTGGAATCCACCAAATGACTACCAGGCTCAAGTAATTCAGCGGTGTTTTAGCAAATTTCAAATAATTCACTTTGACCCCAATGTGATTGGTAGGTCAATAGTAAGTAGAAGGTCACTATGGGATCTATTCTTTGCTGCTTACTGCTTGACAGAAGTCAAGGGTTAGCAGTACCGTCTCTCCCTCCTTCTCCTTCCCCTGCAGTGTCGTTTTCCGATATTCTAGACTCTTGTTCCTAGTATGTAATTTGTTCATGTTTAACTCTTCTCCTTGCTTGGATGAAAACGTTGGCGTGTCTAATAAACCTTGTCAGCTCATCCTAGGCCAGAACTTATCCCCGGCGGTTCACGTGGCCCGCATGTGCTGCCCTCAAAGTCATCGGTCTATACCACAACACGTCTGAGTCGGCCTTGAAGTTGATTGGCTGGTTCGGACAGGCGTGATTGGTCGAGAAAAAAGCTGTCGCTGGTGTGCGCGTGCAATTACTCTCGAGAGGCGCAGTGTTGCAGCGGGCGTCCGGATTAGGGTCACCACAAATTCACCGACACAATATCGGAGAATATGCTGCGAAGAAGGACACACGATCGCTGGAAGAAGAGTTTTATTAGCCCGACGTTTCGGATTCTCACTCGAATCCATCATCAGAGACGAGTCAGATAGGGGTGATAAATTGCCCAGGTGCTGCAGTATTTATAGGAGGTAGTTGCTAGGCCGCTACATGCCTATCACAGTTGGCAGTTCCCGAGTGCATTACGGCTCGACTGGCCAGGTGTTGAAGCATGCGGTTGCTATGCGCTGGCGTGCCGGTCAAGATTATCGATTCCCACGCTTATCGCACGCAGTCGAGTTGCTGACTGTCGAATTTCGTCATCCGTGTGGGCTCTTGAGCAGTTTGGCTCGCCAATGCTGACACCGGGAAGAGTGATCATCCGCACGCTGTCCTCGCGGCTAACTACTTCGCCTAGACTAAGTCTGAGCGCCGAATATGGAACGGGGAGGTCATTGAGCTTGTTGATGGACTCAGGGCCGGAAACCCACGGCTCGAGCAGTTCGCGGCTCACGCGGTTGTCAGATCTGGCAAGAATTTCTGCTTCGTCAAACTTGAATGGGGAGTTGGGTCCCGTCAAGTGAGCCGCGACTTGGGCGCTGGCGTCTTTCCTCTCCGCTGCTGCGTGCTCGGCCATTCGCGTTCGCAGTAGTCTTTCGGTTCCCCCGACGGAGTTGCTTTGCCCACAGATGCACCAGACAGGGTAAACGACTCCAGATGTTTCTTGCCGTGGCAATGGGACTTTCGGCCTCATGATCCGGCGCCTTATGGCTGCTTCCGGTCTGTATGCTACTCCAATTCCAAAGGGTGTGGTGGCCTAAAAACCAACGTATTCAGGAAGGCGACAAAAACGACGGAAATACCGAGCTACAACAGCAACCGCCCAATCAGTCACAAACGCAGTTGCGCAATGACACTATACGAGCGTGTGGAGACACACTACCGTCAACCGGAAGACAAGGTTGCTGAATTTCAATACCTTCGACGGGTATTCAAAGTCAATGGCTACCCGCGCAACTTCGTCAACCAGTGCCTGCGAAAGCGAGGCCAGGGACGAAATCCAACCAGCCCCAAATTTTAATAAGCTCTCCCGTGCGTGAAGAATGTCTCAGAAGCCGTCAGCCGCCTTCTCACACCCTTTGGAATTGTAGTACACAGACCGGAGGTAACCGATTTTCTGGTGGTTACAAAAGTTGAAAAATGCTCCAAGAAGACCTAACCAGACCGAGCTTTTAGTGAGCCTTAGCTTCAATATTTTCTCTGCAGTATACCATGGCTGCTAGTAGATCATGGGCATTGGCATTGACGACTTCGCCACAGACTTCTTCTCCACAGACGAAACGGCTGTACGGTGTGTCATAAAAGAATATCGCGTTGAGTATGCTCTACAGTAACTCAAACGATGCTCAAGGTCTTGGTCGTGGGACTTGCCACAACAGTACGGTATATGTCACTGACTGGACCGTTCAAAGCAGTGTATAATTTGCATCGCGACAGAGGACGACTGACTTCTCCTAAGATGTTAGCATTGTCATGTTGAAATAAAGCCGCAGGATGTATCCTCATGAGCGAAGGAGCTCGCCAGTTCAATTATTTTATTGGTTGATAGGCCGATCGCCGCGGACAACGATGTCCACCACTGATCCACGAAGGGAGCCCAGTAGTGATTATTTGTACGATGTCAAACTTATTCACTCTTTCCAGACCTCCGCGACCTGCTGTTCAGTCAAGGTCATCTCGTAGCTCCGACACGAGTGACGGCCGTCACCGTAAACAGACAACTACTTCCAATCATGCCCTGGTTCAACTGACAGTGCAGTGACGACACAGTAGAATAGTTGTCGTTTCTTGCAGAATTTGAGAGTAACTACGGGTTCTGCATGAGAAAGACATGAAGTCAAATTAAATTACGAAACCTTACCCCGATTTCTTGAAGAAAGAAAACGATCCACTTCCTTCATCTTTCTGAACCTTGAATTTTCAATTTAAGTAAAGAAACACAGACTGCTTACTCGTTCCAGTTGAAAACATAGCGCCGGTGTTTGCCATCAGGAGACATTGGATGTTTGTCTCGTAATCGTGATAGCTCTGCGTTACCGAGCGCATTATTGACAACGCACTGCAGTAAGTACTGGCAAAAGGCCATTCCTCGTCCAAATGTCGTGTCCTCCTTAACGCTTAATTCCACATTCTGCACTGTCATAGATTTTGCAGTGGGGAAGGCGCGTTCCACAACCGACTTTTCGTGACAACTCATCGGAAGACTGGAGATGGTGCGAGTCAATCCTGTCAAAACTTTAGGATCCAGAGTCTTTTCCCGTTTCAGGAGGTTAAATTCAGGGTCTGGTCCTCTTTTGACGAAAGCATTCGCACTGCTCGCTCTTGAATTTACATGCCGTGAACTGTCATGAAGTATTTCCTTCCTCGCTACAAGAAAACTGATTAGAATGGAAATAACTACCTCGCTTGGTTTCAGTCCGGCTCTCTGGCAACTTTTGAAGCGCCGGACATTTTAAGTTTGACTCCTTGACCTTCCTGCAGGGGGAATTTAAATCGGGAAGAAATTTGGATCTGACGTCCTTAGGTTGACGATATAAAATCATTTCCAGAAGCGACGACAACGGGGAGAAAAATTCGAAGTCCTAAAATCGGGGATTGCATGGTAGTTTTACAAGACAAACCACTAGTTAGTTTGCAGAAAATTCAAGACAAACATTAGTGATTTGTGCCAAGTGCTGAATCTCAGAAAGCACTGGCCGAATCTGGAAAATCAGGCAAATGGGATTTTCGTTCCAGCGATCGTATCTCCTCCCTCTTATCAGCTTCCTGGAATTCGCCTTTTTTCTACTATTGGTGTATTGAACTAAGATCTTAGTCGTGCCTTTAAAACAGGAAAGATAACTTAGATCGTTTTGCTAAAGTGCAGAATGCGTAAATTCACCAAGGACAGTATATGCGCTATAGCATTCATTCGTTCAGTTATAAATCTTCCATGCCTCGTGCAGGTCTTGGTCATGCTGAAAGGAGCTCCAACGGAGTCACCTATTTCTCGGTTTCTGGCTGAGGTCATAATGCAAAAATTACAGGTTATGGTCCTACCATTATTCAATCCATATTTAAGTGTACGCTACGTAGATGACACCTTTGTCATCGTTAAGAGAGATTGGCTGGAGAAGCTGCATAACGCCATCAACTCAACACTACCGGGAATTACCTTCATGCTCGAAAGAGAGGTTAACAGCAAACTCCTATTTCTTGATGTCCTCGTACAGCGAAAAACTGACGGGACATTCCACACATCAGTATACCGTAAAGAAACTTACGCGGAAGTTATCCTACCTTACGAGAGCTATCACCCTATGGCTCACAAACGGAGTGCTGTTAACACCCTACTTAATCGAGCAAAGACACATTGCTCTGAGAACGAAGGGTACAAAGAAGAACTCAATTATCTGTTCAACCTATTTTCCCAAACCGGCTACCCTAGAGATTTTGTACGCCGATGCATGAAACAGCAGGAATCAAAAGAAAGAGAGAAGGAACTAGATTGTTCCGATCAGACGCCAAAACCAAAACATTGGCGAACGCTTCCCTACATTAGAAATGTGTCTGAACTCGTTGAAAGACACCTGAGGAAGCACCAAATACAAGTGGCTCACAAACCGACTACAACGCTACGCAATCAGCTTGTACATCTTAAGGATAGAGTTGACCGTTTGGACAAAACAGAAGTAGTCTATAAGATTCCATGTGGAACTTTAAATGCAGTATATTGTGGTCAAACAGGAAAATCCGCCACCACACGTCTACATGAACACCACTTGGCAGTAGACAGGCTGGGCCACTTACCTCAAGTTGCCATGCATACTCTTAAATCTGGCCACCAATTCGCTTGGGATAAAACACGAACTGTCGGCTCCTGCCCATATAAGAAAGGCCGAGAATCCCCAGGGGCCATCCACTCTGATGATTCATGCATAGATCGGCGCATCGATCTGAACGCCATACACAACTCTCAGAGGAAAGTGGGAAAGGTGATAGCCAGTCAAAACGTGACGTCAGTCCACAGCATCGACCCAACCCCACAACTGACAAAGCAATATCGAATTTTCGGGCATGTTTAACTGTTTTTCACACTTGCTACACGTCTGACGACGACCCGGGAACCGGTGTCGAAAATTTACGAATAAATCCGAAACACTACTCTTTCAGTCTACCCGCATTCTCTCTCGTCCCTCCTCGCTGCTATATATACATATGTGCGGAGTTTGTTTGCTTCGTTAGGCCAAGAGATCAGTGTGCGCCCATTCCTGATTGAATAAATGCCCGATCTACAGCTACAGAGAATGACAGGTGACGAGGCACTGATGAACTTCGGTTCGATGAAGTGCTTATGACCCATCTGGTAGACCCCAGTGGTGGATCAACTGCGCCAGGTGCGTCTGTGCACATGCTTGTGTTTCTGGTCCAAGCTGCTGGTCAGGGTTATATTTATCGTGTTAGTTAGAAGTCCACCGCCTCTAATAACTGCCCCACGGCCCGTTGTCCTGTCGGTTTTCATCGGGAACATATAATGGTAGAGGGGCGCTTACCAATCGTTCCTACGGAACGAGTGAGTTCCGCAAGAACGATCGGTGAGCGTCCCTCTACCATTGTATGTTCCCGATCAAAACCGACAGGACAACGGACCGTAGCTCAGTGGTTGGAGGGGCTGGACTTCTAACTAACAGTTCGCGAGTTTCCGACCCCAGATGTTCCACATTTCGGTGTTAGGTATGGCTGACTAATGGCGGCTAATTAGCCAGAAATTGCCGTTCCAATCTCCCTTGTCTTTGTCAGTTATGATATTCTGCACACATATATGAATTGAAAAAATGGCATCCCAAGAAATTTAATTAGGAAGATGAATTCTTCATGGCTTTTACCCATTGGCCAGGCGCCAATAATGCGAGCGTTATCTCACGAAAAGTTTCGCATTGTTTCTAGTGTGTGCATGACCACCTGGGATAGAAGGCCTCTTCTCTTCATCGCAAATTTTACTTTGTGTACACGGGTTGAGACAAATTTCCAAGTTAAAACATAATAGATAACATCACAAGTGGCACACGGGTTGTTGTATATAACGTCCCCTCTATCGCCGCAGACACTCCTGTTCTTGGAGTATACAAGCTGAGTGCGTAAGGTAGTTGTCGGTTGGTGTGTTACGTGTGTATGATGTTTTCTTAATTGTGTTCGGACTAACTCAGACACACTTCCCAAAGGATTGGATCACTTCTTAAAACACATATATATATATGGATATAGGCAAAAATGCTGACCCCAAGTGTTAATATGGAAGAGGAGGATGAGGCGATATCTGGGGAAGAAGGTTTATTCATCTGACTTTTCGTGTTCATACTCGAGCACATCTTCGGAGATAGGCTGAGCGAGAAATACAGGGTTTAAATAGGCCATCTGCACTCTCACCCGATAGGTTCGTCCCGTTCGCTTCTCGTTGGCCCCTCTCTCGCGCGTAGATGGTGCCTGACGGCCTCGTATGGCGCTGGCAAATCGATACTTCGGTTGATAGAGTTCGTGCCTGATTTCCAGGCCTCGATTACTTCCCTCGCCAGTTTGCTTTCGGCTCGGCCGAGCACC